GTGCGTTAAATATCGCATACGATTTATCGTGCAGCCCTAATTTTTATCATAGATTATGATTATATATTTATTCATTTGTTGTTTTTCTTTTTACAATTAAGTTGTCTATATGTGGTAGATTATGTTTATCACACAAAAGAGTGATGATCAGGTCAACACATTGAGGTATCGTAATTCTACACTGATTTAAAAAAATAAACTGCGCGGTATCGGATCGGTATCGGCAGATACTCAGAATTTCTGGTATCAGATCGGGATCGGTTCTAAAAAAGTGGTATCGAGCCAGCCCTAATTTTAAGTAGTGGTTTGAACTCTGAGCATTCTTAATAACACTGACATGTAATTTCATAATATACTGTACGAGGATATCTAAGTAAAGTTCCAGGAATTGTAGTTTTGTTCTGTGCCGTTACTTTTAACTATTACTAAGCCTGCCTGGCATTTGGGAAGTGGAAACTTCTGGGGGAAAGATCCTCACTACTTAAAAACTGAACAGTTGAAACTGCCATTTACCAGTCAAAAATTTGAATACATCAACTCACTCTTGATCATTACTTAAATGTTGTGATTTTTCCACATTTTAGGATAATAGTAAAGTCATCAAAATATGAAATAATACAAATGGGTGGAAATTAAGTGTCCTTTTTTGAGTGGTACTATATACTGTAAATACACAGCCAAAAGTTATATATGTATATATAACTTAATGAAGACTTGATGTGAATCCACAAGCTATTTGTATGTATATCAAAATGTAATAGAAAGAGTAGAAAGTTTAAAATATAAATGTTTTAACTGTCACTTTTTATCAAATTAAGGCATCCTTGCAGAAGAAACGTGTATATAGATATATACATATGAGGTCCAAAATACTGTTCCTACTGTATATACATACAAAATAAAAAATACTTATCGGAAGGCCAAATAATGGTTTGATGTGTTTATACCTTGCTGTTTACATTTTTGCAATTTCATTAGTTATCTTGTATTTCATAACCATTTAAAGTTTAACTATAGTTGAAAGCTTATACTGCTATTTAATGTCAGTTTCTATTGTGACATTTTACCTCATATACTGTGATAACATGACTCACAACACACTGCCACAAAAGGTCAATGTGTGTTCAGTAAACTCGTTTATTCTTGGGCAATAATTGTGGAAATGTTCACCTTTTTTGTATCTCAGAGTAAAACTAACCTACCATGATTAACATTCACACCTGTGTATTAACATGCTGAAGTATGTTGGCCCGTATGTGTTTGTCAATATTGTATCAAGTGTCTTCTCACTCAAGCTCATACCTTATAATAGGCCCCATCTGAAGCAGATGCATGAAGAGCACAAAGGGTCGGTCTCTCCCCAAGTCCCGGTGTACGAACGTCAGCGTGAGCTGGGTCAGAACCGACGGAACTAGCATGAATGTAATAGTTAGTCCCATCCACACAACGTCGTCAGACTTATGGTACGTGCTGCTGAGCACCGAGGCACATATGAACTCCGCGCAGTACAGGACGGTCGCCCACAGCACGCTGAAGGGTGGATGGACTTTACCGTGGTTGATCACCATCAAGACGCCATTCTCACTCGGGTTCGCGGCGGACTGCTGCGCCACCACCTCCGTGATGTCGTGCTCTTTCGGCTTGTTGTTTTCCATCTTCCACTTCTCGTGCGCTTTATATGGCTCGATCCGAGCAGCATTCATGCCATTGTTCAGGAAACTTCGTCGGTGATTCGGATCTCAAATGAACCGTCTGCGTGCTCCATATGTGAACTCGACTCTGCCACATATGCAGTTCTGTGAAGGAAAGTAACTGAAGTATATAGTATGAAGTGACCTTCTGTTGTTTTAAAACATGCTACGTACCCATCTAGACATTACGATGCCGCCAACTTCGATTTATTAACCTTTCAGATAATTTCCATTTCGCAGAGAGACTTTCAACGGACTTGTCTCAGATCAGAAAGCCAGGTGTGTCCTGACCATAGACAGTAAACAAACAGGTCCTGACATGCAGTGACTGAAAGCCTGCACTGTCTCTGGCTGCTGGAATCCCCCGGGTCCTAGTGCACTGCGGTTGTAGTTAATCAAGTTGGTTGTGTCTTGGCATTGCATATTACAGGCACTTAATAGGTCTATGTTCTGTATCTTCTTTTCACTGCAGTTGAATAAGAGGGCAAACTTATGGCAGCAATTGCAGTATCAAGTGGATCAAGTGTTCAGATGGCAGTATCCTTGAGGCTTTAAAGGGATTGTTCACCTTCAGTTGCTCGTTCCCATTGGTGTGCATATTCCATACTATCTCTTTAATATTAGCATTTCTTTTTTTGGTTGTCTATTTATTCACATGAAATGCAAGGGTAGGGGACAGCAGAGAGGATTTAAAACATACTGCTTAGAGATTTATGGACAAATATCTTATAATAAAAGAATAATGCAGGAGTACAAATATAGCCAGCTGTTACTTACCAGTACTTAAAGGGGTCCTATTATGCTTTTTCACTTTTTTAATTTTAGTCAGTGTGTAGTGTGTATGTTTGGGCATAAAAAAGATCTAGAAAGTTACAAATCTCAAAGTCCACTCCAAAGGGAGTTGCTTCGTTTTTAAAAAATCCCTTTTCAAGAACTACAACGAATGGCTCGTTTGGACTACAGCGTTTGTTTTCCGGGCTTTGTGATATCTCAAAGCGGCTCATTGGAATATCATTACAGATAATTCCCGCCTACGGAGATTCGAATGGTTGGGGGGTGGGGAGGGGCGAGGTTGTGGTTAGAACCATAGACATAATAAATACCTAGACGCCTCATTGGCCGCTCGACCGCGCGTAAACATCGCCGCCATATTGGTGCGGGCAACTCTCATATCGGGACAGGCGAAAACATACCTGACTCGTCGGCAGCTTGGGCATCTACAAACCGTCGCACAATAATAAAAACAGATCTCGGGGTATTATCTTTCACAGGTAAGACTGAACAGTTGTTTCTGTATGTTTTTGGTCATTTTTAGCAGTGGCGATTGCAAGTGACATTGTAATTTAGTTTCTTTTTTTCTTGTCTTCACCACCTGGCTATACTGTTTTAAAATGTTGAGAGATTCAAACAAAAAGTAATCAATAAATAGAACAAAATAAAAAATAATAAAGACTGCAAGTGACGTCGCTAGCAGAAGTGCAAGTGTCTGAGAGTGCAAGCGCCAGCTGCAGCCAGACCCTTCTCAAAAAACTAACAATGGCTATTTGAAAGCACCTGCATCCTAGAATGTTTATTGCTTTTTTAAATCTAATTATCACTATAGAGATTTAGCATTTCAGGTGAATATCTTTACTACATGAGGAGTGGCACACAGTAGTGTTGTTGCTGTTGTTCCGATTTCTCACCCCCACAGACTTGTCCTAAACTGAACTAACCATGATCAGAACACAAATGCATTTGGCCTGCTCTGACTCAGGTCCACACAGTCGTCAAACTCACAAATGCCCAGTCAATCATAGGATAATGCAGCGATTAGTAACACTCATGAGCTTGTGGAATTCTTGGATCTTAGATATTGTGGTATATGCAGTTGTCCAGCTTGTGATTCATGGAATCTAGCGTATTAAATGAGCCGCTGTAAAGGACAGGCAACATGACCACTGAGCTGTTTCCATTTGTGTCATGGCCAGCTGACAAGGGGTTGTATCTGCGCTCAAGGCTCCACATGAGTTTAGTCAGCAGATGAAGTAAGCACCTGCCAGTAATTACTTAATCAGATCAGACTAGAGAGGAGTAAAGAGGATGTTGCTTTTGTTTTGTTTTGGCTGTTGCCTCACATCCGGTTTTAAGTGGTAGAAACTAGCTTCAGTAAATTGATCTTTCAGAGAATCACTCGAATTGATAGATGTGGACGCATGCCTAAAGCGTTTTTTTATTCTTAACAATACATTGGAAAAAGGAATTATCAAAGTTATATATAAAAACTAAGATTATTGGAGTTTGAGAAAATACTATTTCAGTCTTTCTACTTTCAAAATGCATACGTTACTTGCTGTTTCTTTGCAATTATTTGTGAAACTTGCAAGCAATTTCTGAGTGAAAACTGTTTCACCACCAAATATGTTTTAAGTGTAGATCCTGAAATGACTAAACAGAAAAATAAACGTCTTGAATTGGACCCCTGGTGGTCAAACTTATTTCATACACCTCAGGAAACTCCATACTGCAGTTTATCAGACCCTCCCAGTGACTATCAGAAGTAAACACTATGTTCTCAACTGCAATTCTAAAATTCTTGGAAAATGAAAAGCAGCTGATAAAACAGGAAGTGATTAGAGCAGATAATAGTTCCTAACGCCTATGTCACATATTTGTTTATTCAAATTTAGCTGATTTAGATAAAGGTTGAGATTCAGCGCAGTTTGTGTATTGTGCTCGGAACAACCTTTGATTTGGAATCTTGTGACAGTGACAGATATAGATGCAGACAGGGCCGTTTCTAGCCAATTTGACGCCCTAGGTGAAATCCCCTATTTTGTACACTTTATTTACTGTACCAATATTTTAAATTGGCCTTTGAACTTAGCTTTATTGCATGGCAAAAAAAAGTGTTACCTTGCCAAAGCACTGACAGAGCCCACTGATCTAATGGCGTTGTTGAGCGCTCCAAATGCAAACTTTGCATGCAACAATCAGGCAGCAATTGACAGCACTCTGATCTAGTGGCATACAGGCATCGTCAGATTGACAGTACTCTAGCCCAATAATGTTGGGGGATCCAGTGGGGTTTTATCACAACCCTGCTAAAAGTGCCAGTACGTGCGCTCATTGGTGCCCCTTCAGCTGGTGGCGCCCTAGGCGACCACCTAGCTCGCCTGTTCCTAGAAACGGCCTTGGATGCAGACTTTGATGTGGGTTGAGACCGAAACTACATGTTGTTATCATAATTACAGTCTTCCGTACATGAATTAAGGGCACAAAAATAGACATTGTAAGGTCACTGAAGTTTCACCTGAAATTGATTGTGGTATACTGTGATGCTGTTAGACTTCCTGTAAAATGTATAACTGACGATATACAATGGCTCCAAAAAATTGGCCACACTTAAAAATGAATGAATGTCATTGAATTAACAAAATATCAAACCAAGTGCCATTTATTTTAAAGACATTTTTTAAAACAATACTATTCAAAATTGAGACAAAAAGTATTTAGATGATAATTGTTAATGTGATGAACTTGCTATGAACTCTCTTGGCTTCATATATCGACTAAAAATGACAATGAAATTTCATATAAAAAACTCAGGCTAAAAGCCGTTCACACGAAGAATGAAAACTATGCACATGACTATTTATATTTATATTATTCACATTATTTATATTTATATTAAAGAGGTTTTGTTGTCTACCTCTTTAAAAGCTTAAGTTCTTTAAAGGTGGATTTTGATTGGCTGTCTCGTTATCATTATAGCTGTGATGTGGAATTAGAATGAGTTAAAACTTTATAGTTATCATTATCATTATAGTTACCATCCTTGGTTTGAACAGGCCTTTCTAGTTTTCTGTAATAATGTTAGCATGAAATGAAAGTTAGGAATGTCTTTTTTCCCTATTGTGATGTATATCTGAGTGAAACGGCTTCTCAAACAAGAAAAAACGTAGGGTGGGAAATTCCCCCACTGGGAATCCATCAGGATTTAATTGGATCGTTGTTGTCTGCTAATTGCTGTGACCTCATATGAGTGACAGGTTGGTGGACAGGACAGGATGGATTATTGGCCAGCTCTTACGCCGTTGATGCACATGTCATCAGAGAATAGATGTTGTTTCAAGGGGAAGGGGAAGTTAATGTTTTTGATGAAAGATTAAGAGGGGACATGAATGAAAAAATAGTGATGTGCACGGATAAATAATTTACAATAGCCTACTGCAATATTCCATAAAAAAACAAGACTTGTCCATTTTAATTTGATGTTGATTTGAACTCTGGTTAAGCAGCAGCAATAGTCTTCAGAAGATGGAGATTTTAGAAGCACGTACAAGTGAGCCTGCGTCCCTTGGATTATTTATCTGCCAGTGGTGTGTAAATGTCATCACGCTATGATGCTCCACAGTAATGTGTATTAGACTGAGTAGTAGATAAAATATTTCTCATTTACCTCAAAGCAGATGTCTATGGACTTTTCATATAACTCATATAGCTAAAATTCTAAGTATTTGTGAGGATGTTTACGTATATTTGGCCTATAATAGCCTGGCAGATGTCTACAGTTAGCCCAGATAAAACCATTCAGAATGGCAGCTGTCACCTGTCTCCCATATGATTGGTTATAAGGATGTGATGGTGTTCCTTCTAAGCTCCTCCCACATGAGGTGACAGGATTAGAGGAATAAGTAGAGCCTGATTAGTTTTTAGCAGACTTGTGCAAAATGTCTCTGGAGAGACGAACAAAAACGCATGGAGTCTGACATACTACTGTGAGTAATGTATGATAGTTTTATTTTTTTTTTCACTGACTATACTCTATATATGTGATATGATGTGCTGTATTATGTCTCTGCATATGTCTGTATACTCATTAATGCTGTTTATGATCACATGTGATCGTGCAGAGGACTACACTGAATATTATAGTGGTCTCCAAACACTCTGAAACTTTTCAGAGTTTTTGGTCCTATAATCAGTTTACAGTCTGTATTATAATCCACACTAGCATGTTGATGCCCTGTATCTGTAGTCAAATATGCAGTTTAGAACTGACAGTTGTAGCATCCTTAATTATAGGTATCAGTCGGAAAGTTTTATTATGTAGAAAAAATGTTTACACTTATTTTACATTTACAGATATAGAGAGTAATTGATCGGTGGGCTACAGCAGCACATGCTGCTTGGGTAAAGGGGTCAAGTGTTCAGAAAGAGAACAGCGTAATTGACTCAGACTACTCTTTAAAGGCTTATGGGACTGAACAGATGTACATTGATGGACCAAGCACAGAGACCGCAACTCTTCCTACATCTCAGGCACCTGTAAATGTAATTAGACATTTACAGGTGCCTGACATAGACATTAGACATTAGACATACTGTGTGACTACATCTGAGGACAGGCAGCTGCTATCTGAATATGACCTGGTTATTTTGCCATGAAAGAGCTTATTCTGCTAGTTGGCTCAAAAACAAAGCCTAATCAGCTCTTTTGCAGTGTTTTGATCTTTTAAAGCCATGAATTTATAAA